TACACACACACACACACACACACACACACACACACACACACACACACACACACACACAGAAATCTATGTGGTGAATTATTTCATCCAAGATGTTTGTGTATTTGCAGATACATTCTATTTTGTTTGAATAAAACCCAGCCTGACTGCAGGTTAAAACACAGACAGATTGTAAACAAGGCCTCACACCTAAAATGCATTATCCGATCTGAGATGTCACCTCTTGTATGCATCAATAAAACCTTTGATTATCTCAGGGCAATGACTTGAAAGAAATTCTGAGATTTGCATTTTAATCAATAGAAACCCGCGTCTCCATTCTAACTGATTAAAGATTCAACAGTGGCGGTCAGTGAGCCATTTCTAAATTCTGTGTCAGGATAACTCCTCTTCCACACTCCACCTGAGGAAGGAGCAGAGCTACGAAAATTAATGTTTTCAAATAAACCTGTTGGACTATAACCTGGTGTGGCGTAATTTTTGACCTGTTCCTCTGAAGTTGTTGAATTTAAGATTAAATCCAAGAGGCGTAAAATGCCTAAGTGGGAAATGATGTGCTATTCTTGAAACACTGTAGCAGACCCAAGATAAAAATGTTAGCTTGGGAACAAGGTAGTTTATTGAAATAACAGGAAACTGGAAGGACAGACTTATTCCTAGGGACAGAGCAGCCATATTCTGCAAAATGGTCACCCAGTCCGTATTTTCACCAATGTGAAGGATATTGCATTTTGAGCAGTGAATACAATAGAGTAGATTAAAAGAAATACAAGTGAAACACTGCTTCATCTGGAAGGTGCATTTGGGTCCTTGGATATTGAGGAGAGAAGAGGTGAATGGGCAAGTGGTACACTTTCTACTCCTTTGTGGGAAAGTACCATGGGGCAGTGAGGAAGCATTAAGAGTGATGGAGAAGTGGACCGGAGTGCTGCGAGGGAAAGACTCCCTGTGGAATGCTGACAATAGAGGGGAAGAAAAAGTATGTTTGGAGATGCTGGAATTGATCTTTTGAATGTGGAGACTCGTGGTAGAAAGTGAGGACTAGGGGCACTCTGTTGTTGTTCTGATACGGAGGAGAAAGTGTGACAGCAGAAATGCAGGAAATGGGTCAGACAGGGTTGAGATTCCTGTCAACCACAATGGAGGGGCTCCTTGGTTGAGGTAGAAGGAGGACATGTCGGAGGTGCCCCATTCGAAGATGGCATCATTGGAACAGATGCAACACAGACAGAGAAACTGAGAGAATGAAATAGAGTTGTTGCAGAAAGCAAATTGTGACAACACTTCCTCCACCTGCTACTGGAAACCTCCGAACCAGACTATTCCAGCGATGGAGAGGAGAGCAAGGCTTATTCCAGCTCACTTCCACAGGAACCCATACCATGTCAAACAACATGGAGCCATTTGGTCTGGCAGCATCTGTGAAGGAAAAAACAGAGTTAACGCTTCGAGTCTGATGACCCTTCTTCAGAACTTCTGAGGGAAGGGTCACCGGACCCAAAATATTACCTCTATTTTTCCCTTCACAGATGCTGCCGGACCTGCTGAGCTTTTCCAGCGACTTTGTTTTTGTTCCTGATTTACAGCATCCGCAGTTCTTTCTGTTTTTATGGAGCCATTTGCATAGTTATTGTCGAGTTAACGTTTGATTTGACATGGCGAGATTTCAGCGATATTTCAGAATGGGTCTGAAGAAGGGTCACTGGACCTGAAGCATTAATTTTGCTTTCTCTCCACAAATGTGGATGAGACCCTTAATGACTACTTTGCATCAGTATTCACCCAGGAGAAGGATACGGAGGACAGTGAGAGTTGTGTGAAGCATGCTAATGTGCCAGGACATTTTGAGATCAAGAAAGAAGTGGTGTTGGATCTCTTTGAAGAGCATTCAGGTGGATAAGCCCCCAGGGTCTCATGGGATCTACTCCAGGTTATTGAGAGAGGCAAGAGAGGAGATTGCTGGGGCCTTGACAAGGTTCTTTGTATCCTCGCTAGCCACTGGAGAGGTCCCGGAGGACTGGCGAGTAGCAAAGGTTGTTTCTTAGTTGAAGAAGAGAAATAGGGACTAGTGAGTCTCACATCAGTGGTTGGGAAGCTATTGGAGAGAATTCTTAGGGATGGGATTTACGTACATTTGGAAATGCCTGGCCAAATTAGGGACAGTCAGCATGGCTTTGTTCAGGGGAGGTCATGTTTTACTAACTTGATTGAATTTTTTGAGGAAGTGACGAAGGTGATCGAAGAATTTAGAGCAGCGGATGTTGTTTACATGAATTTTAGTGAAGCTTTTGACAAGGTCCCTCATGGTAGGCTCATCCAGAAGATTAAGATGCATGGGATCCATGGTGACTTGGCTGTGTGGATTCAGAATTGGATTTCCCATAGAAGACAGAGGGGAGTGGTGGAAGGGTGTTTTTTAGGCTGGAGGTCCATGACTAGTGGTGTTCCGCAGGGATCCATACTGGGATCTCTGCTGTTTGTGCTACATATAAATGACTTGGATGAAAATGTAGATGGGTGGGTTAGTAAGTTTGTAGCTGATACAAAGATCAGTGGAGTTGTAGATAGTGTAGAAGGTTGTCAAAGGATATAGTGGGATTACAGATCAGTTGCAGATATAGGCAGAGGAATGGCAGATGGAGTTTAAACTGGCTAAGTGTGAGGTGCTGCACTTTGGGAGATCAAATGTTAAGGAAAAGTATACAGTTAATTGCAGGATTGTGAGCAGCATTGATGTACAGAGGGATCTTGGGGTTCAAGTCCATAGCTCCTTCAAAGTGGCCACACAAGTAGATAGGGTGGTAATGAAGGAATATGGCGTGCTTGCCTTTATTGGTTGGGGAATTGAATACAAAAGTCGGGATGTTTTGTTGCAGCTTTATATGACTTTGGTTAGGCCATACTTAGAGTATTGTGTTCAGTTATGGTTGCCACATTATAGGAAGGATGTGGAGGCTTTGGACAGGTTGCAGAAGGGGTTTATCAGCATGCTGCCTGGATTAGAGGGTATGAGCTGTAAGGAGAGGCTAAAAACACTCAGGTTGTTTTCTCTGGAGCGGTGGAAGCTGAGGGGAGACTTGATAGAAGTCTATAAAATTATGAAATGCATAGATAGGGTTGATGGTCAGAATCTTTTTCACAGAGCTGAAAAATAGGGGAATCATTTAAGCTGGGGGTGGGGGATGTTCAAAGGAGGCATGAGGGGCAAGTTTTTCACACAGAGAGTGATAGGAGTCTGGAATGCACTGCCAGAGGTGGTGGTAGAGGCAGATCCAATAGAGGCATTTAATTTTTTTTCTTCATTAACGGGATGAGAGCATCGCTGATAGGCAGCATTTATTGCCCATCCCTAAATGCCCAGAGGGCAGTTAAGAGTCAACCACATTGCTGTTGTTCTGGACTTACATGTAGGTCAGACTGAGTAAGGATGGCAGTTTCTTTCCCTAAAGGACAATAATGAACCAGATGGGTTTTCCCAACAGTCAACAATGGATTCATGGCCCTCATCAGATTCTTAATTCCAAATGTTTATTGAATTCAAATTCCACCATCTGCTGTGGTGGGATTTGAACCCCGGACCACAGAATTTTATCTGGGTCTCTGGATTAACAGGCCAGCAATAATACCACCAGGCCATCACCTTCCCCAGGTGATGGGCTTCTGGATAAGCACGTGAATATACAAGGAATGGAGGGATTCGGACCAAGGCAGGCAGAAGGGATTAGTTTTATTTAGTGTCATGTTCGGCACAACACCATTCTTGTGTTAACACGGTGTAGAGCTGGAAAGTTTTCTGAAGAAGGGTCTAGGCCCAAAATGTCAGCCTTCCTGCTCCTATGATGCTGCTTGGCCTGCTGTGTTCATCCAGCTCTACACCGTATTATCTCAGATTCTCCAGCATCTGCAGTTCCTACTATTTCTGATACCATTCTTATGTTGTCTTGTTCTATGTTCTGATTTCTAAATGCTACCAGACCTGCTGAGTTTTCCTAGCAACTGCTGTTTTTCTTTCTGATTTCCAGCGTCTACAACGTTTTTTAGTTTTCTGTTTTGAGTATTGGACTTGATTTGCTCACTGGTCCTGGACTCCATGGATTGACTCTTGAAAGTCACCCAAAGGGAGTTAGATGTCCTTGTTCATGAGTCACTGAAAGTGAACATGCAGGTACTGCAAGCAATTAAGAAAGCAAATGGTATGTTTGCCTTTATTACAATAGGATCTGAGTATAGGAGTAAAGATGTCTTACTGCAATTGTAGAGAGCCTTGGTGAGACCAAACTTGGAGTATTGGATTATATACACTAGACCTCCATTCCTTAGAGTTTAAAAGAATGAGAGGTGATCTTATTCAAAAGCACAAAATTCTTACAGGTCGAGAAAGGTTAAATGCACCTCAGCCTAGAGGTGGTGGGGCAAAGTAATCTAGAATAGGGGGCACAGTCCCAGAATATGCTGGGAAGGTCTTTTCTCAAAAATTTGATTGAGTTATTTGACGAAGTGACAGAGATGATTGACAAGAGTAGGGCAGTGGATAGTCTACAAATGAAATGTTTGACAAGGTCTCCCATGGTAGGCTGGTTCAGAAGATTAAGTCACATGGGATCCATGGTGAGTTGGTAAGTTGAATATTTTTCTGACTAGAGGTCTGTGACCAGTGGTGTTCCCCAAGGACTGGTGCTGGGACCTCTGTTGTTTGCAGATGACACATAAATTGTGGAGTTGTGGATAGCGAAGAAGGCTGGCAAAAGATACAGCAGGATAGCAACCAGTTGGAAAGTTGGGTGGAGAAGTGGCAAGTGGAGTTTAATCTGGACAGGTGTAAGGTGATGCATTTTGGGAGGTCAAATGGCAGGCCCCTCATTAATACCCAGAGGGATCTTGGGGTGAAAGTTCATGGCTCCCTGATAGTGGCAACATAAATGGATAAGATGGTAAAGGAGGCGAACAGCATGCTTGCCTTCATTGGTCAGGGCATTGAGTGTAAAAGTTGGCAAGTCATGTTGCAGCTGTATGAAATTTTATTTCGGCCACATTTAGTATATTGTATGCAGTTCTGGCCACCGTACTATAGGAAGGATGTGGAGGCTTTGGAGAAGGTGCAAAAGAAGATATCACAATGTTGCCTGGAATAGAGGATATCAGCTATAATGATAGGTTGGACAAACTTGGTTTGTTTTCACTAGAGCATCAGAGGCTGAGGGGTGACTTGATGGAAATATATAAAGTTATGAGAGGCCTGGATAGGGTGGATAGTCAGAGTCTTTTCCCTAGATGGCAATGTCAAATTCCAGGGAGCATAGGTTTAAAATGAGAGGGAGAAAGTTGAAAGGAGATGTGTGAGGTATGTCTTTTACACAGAGGGTGGTAGGTGCCTAGAATGCGCTGCCAAAGGAGGTGGTAGAAACATTTTTGACAGCAGTGTTTCTGAAATATTTAGACAGACAGGCAGGGAATATAGGGATACAGACTATGTGCGGGGAGATGGAATTAGTTTGGAATGGCATCATGTTCGGCACAGAGATTGTGGGCTGAAGGCCTGTTCATATACCATACTGATGAATGTTTTGAGTTCTATGTAGTAAGGGGCAGACCATTTAGAATTGAGATGAGGAAGAATTTCTTCACTCAGAGGGTAGTAAATCTTCGGCATTCCATGCCTGAATGGCTGTGAAATTTCAGTCATTCAGTATGTTCAACAATGTGATTGAATGATTTCAACAAACTAGAACATCAAGCAAAATGCAGATAATGCAGGTTAGAAGTGTTACAACAAAGAAGAAAGAAGAATACAGCACAGGTAGACTCTTTGGCCCTCCAAGCCTGTGACGACCCATTTTGCCCTTCCATACTAAAATTGTCTTCACTTACAGGATCCGTATCCTTTTATTCCCTTCCTATTCATGTATTCATCCTGGTATTTTTTCAATGCTGCTATTGTGTCTGCTTCCACCATCTCCTCTGGCAGCATGTTCCAGGCACTCACCAAACTTTGTGTGAAAAACATACTTCACACATCTCTTTTAAACTTTATCCCATCCTCCTTGCACCTTGAACCTGTCTCTCCTAGTAATTGACCCCTCCACCCTAGGAAAAAGCCTCATACTTTCCATTCTATCCACGCCAATCACAATCTTATAAACTTCTATCAGGTTTCTCTGCAACCTCCTGCATTCCAGTGAAAACAAACCCAGTCGATCCAACCTTTCTTCATAGGTAAAATCCCCCATACCAGGCAACATCCTGCTAAACCTTTCCTGTACCCTCTCCACAGCATCCACATCCTTCTGGTAGTGTGGTGATGAGAAGTGTACGCAATATTCCAAGTGTGGCCTAACTAAAGTTTAAAGCTGCAGCATAACTTGTCTATCCTTATACTCAGTAAGGTGTAGAAGTAGAGGATCAGCCATCATCCCAGTGAAGTGGGTTTGAAGGGTTTCATGGCTGCCTTCTGCTTCAATTCTTTATGCTTGTATGATCCAGTATCCCTTTCTTTTGTTCTGTTTCAAGTGTTGCCTGATTATACTCTAAAATCACCTGGGGTCATATTGTTATGCTAAAGGTGTTATATAAATACAATTTGTTGTGTGTTACTGACAATCAATTTTCTTTCCTCTGATAATAGACAGTAGTTATTTCCAGTTGCGAGCCCACATGTATCAAGCTCGAGGTGTTCTTGCAGCTGATGATACTGGATTATCTGACCCTTTTGCAAGAGTTGTATTTTCAACTCAATGTCAAGCAACTAGGGTAAGAAACTTCGATTTTTTTTGACAAAGTGCATTTATTGTTTGGCATTGTTTGTTTTGGTGACTTTTGTGTGATGTTAATCTTTGAGGTCAAATTTGCTCCACATCGAGTTTCGTTGCAGACTCACTAATCTGAGCCAATGCGGACATGCAGTGTAGACTGTTGATTTTGTGTCTTGTCACCTTGGCTGCTGTAAAACCATCTCTCAGGTGGAGAGATTTGACAAGTCATGAGTAAAATCCCAAAAATTCAACAGAGTCAGGGGGCAGAGCTGAGTGTGGTGGCCATCACCAAGGAAAAGGTGCTGGTAAAACTGATTGGCCTGAAGGTGGACAAATAACCTGGACCAGATGGACTACACCTCAGAGTTCTAAAGGAGATAGCTGAAGAGATAGTAGAAGCATTAGTGGTGATCTTTCAGGAATCGCTAGAGCCAGGGAGGGTCCCAGAGGACTGGAAAATCACTAACATGAAACCCCTGTTTAAAATAGGAGTAAGGCAAAAGACGGAAAATTACAGGCCGATTAGCCTAACCTCGGCCGTGGGTAAGATTTTGGAGTCCATTGTAAAGGATGAGATTTCTGAATATTTGGAAGTGTATGATAAAATAGGGCAAAGTCAGCATGGTTTCATCAAGTGGAGGCCATGCCTGACAAATCTGCTAGAATTCTTTGTGTAAGTAATGAGCAGGGTAGACCAAGGAGAGCCAATGGATGTTATCTACCTGGACTTCAAGAAGGCCTTTGACAAGGTGCCGCACAGGAGGCTGTGAAGTAAGATAAGGGCCCATGGTGTTAGAGGCAAGGTTCTAGCATGGATAGAAGATTGGCTGTCTGGCAGAAAACAGAGAGTAGGGTTAAAAGGGTCTTTCTCAGGATGGCAGCCAGTGCCAAGTGGTGTTCTGCAAGGGTCAGTGTTGGGACCGCAACTTTTCACTTTATACATTAATGATCTAGATGAAGGAACTGAGGGCATTCTGGCTACGTTTGCAGACAATACAAAGATAGGTGGAGGGACAGGTAGTATTGAGGTGGTGGGGAGGCTGCAGAAGGATTTGGACAGGTTAGGAGAGAAGGCAAAGAAGTGGCAGATGGAGTACAATGTGGGAAAGTGTGAGGTCATGTACTTTGGTAAGAAGAATAAAAACATGGACTATTTTCTAAATGGGGAGAAAATTCAAAAGTCTGAAGTGCAAAGAGACTTGGGAGTTCTAGTCCAGGATTCTCTCAAGGTAAACTTACAGGTTGAGTCAGTAGTCAGGAAGGCAAATGCAATGTTAGGATTTATTTTGAGAGGACTTAAATATAAAATGCAGAGATGTGCTACTGAGGCTTTATAAGGCTCTGGTCAGGCTACATTTGGAGTATTGTGTGCAGTTTTGGGCCCCATATCTCAGGAAGGATGTACTGGCTCTGGAGCAGGTTCAGAGGAGGTTCACGAGAATTGTCCCAGGAATGGAAAGCTTAACATATGAGGAACGTTTGAGGACTCTGGGTCTATACTCATTGGAGTTTAGAAGGATGAGGGGGGATCTAATTGAAACTTTCAGAATAGTGAATGGCCTGGACAGAGTGGATGTTGGGAAGATGCTTCCATTTGTAGGAGAGATGAGGACTTGAGGGCACAGGCTTAGAGTAAAAGGGAAGGTCTTTTGGAATGGAGATAAGGTGAAACTTCTTCAGCCAGAGAGTGGTGAATCTATGGAATTCACTGCCACAGAAGGCTGTGGAAGCAGGTCATTGAGTACATTTAAGACTGAGATAGATAGGTTCTTGATTATCAAGGGGTTCAAGGGTTACGGGGAGAAAGCTGTAGAATGGGGTTGAGGAACTTATCAGCCAGGATTGAATGGCGGAGCAGACTTAATGGGCCGAATGGCCTAATTTATGCTCCTATGTCTTATGGTCTTATGGTCTTAAGTCCTGTAAGATTCTTGGTTTTAGCTGGTTAAACCTGAAGAATGGAACAAAAACAAAGTTGCTGGAAAAGCTCAGCAGGTCTGGCAGCATCTGTGAAGGAAAAAGCAGAGTTAATGTTTCGGTTCCGGTGACCCTTCCTCAGAATTGATAGTGGCTGAGAAAATGTCAGTTTATATGCAGAAAATAGGGAGGTGGGTGGGGTAGGGAGTAAACGATAGGATAGAGCCCAAAGAGAGAGAAAGACAGTTGGACAGACAAAGGAGTTGCTAAGTTGGGTGAATAGTTGTTAATGGGGACTGTTAGTGACTAACAACAGGGGGTGTGTAATGGCACGCAAGGAGAGATTTGACAAGTTATGAGTAAAATCCCAAAAATTCAACAGAGTCAGGGGGCAGAGCTGAGTTTGGTGGCCATCACCAAGGTAAAGGTGCTGGTAACAAGGCCTGGTGTGTGGGGTGGAGGGCTGGGACATGGGAGAGTTTAGGCCCTAAAATGATTCAACTCAATATTGAGTTCGGAGGGCTGTAGGGTCCCCAAGCGGAAAATGAGGTGTTGTTCCTCCAGCTTGCATTGGGCTTCACTGGAACACTGGTTGTGTGTTAAAGTGGCAGGCAACAGATAGTTCAGGGTCTTTTTTGCGGGCAGAACGTAGATGTTCTGCGAAGTGGTCGCCAAGTCTGCGCTTCGTTTCCCCAATGTAGAGGAGACCACGCTGAGCAGCGAATGCAGTAGACTAGATTCTGGGAAGTGCAGGTGAAGTGTTGCTTCACCTGGAAGGTATGTTTGGGGCCTTGGATACTGGGGAAGGAGAAGGTAAATGGGCAAGTGTTGCACCTTCGCCGGTTACAGGAGAAGGTACTGTAGGGCTGTGGGGGGGCTATTGGGGGTGAATGAAATGGACGCCATTTCCACCACCTCCAGCGAGATGCCGCCGCCAAACCATATTCCCCTCCCCTCCCTTGCCCGCCTTCTGTCCCTACGGGACACTCTGGTCCACATCCCCACAGACCTATCGGACAGGGTTCCAGAGGAGCGGACAGGGCTCTAGAGGTTTACAAGGTAGCCAGGAAGGAACTGAAGAATGGACTTAGGAGAGCTCGAAGTGGGTATGAAAAATCCTTGGTGGGTTGTATTAAGGAAAACCCCAAGGTGTTCTATGCTTATGTGAGGAACAAGAGGATGGCCAGAGTGAGGGTAGGGCCAATCACGGATAGTGCACGGAACTTGTGCATGGAATTAGGAGGAGGTAGGGGAGATCTTTAATGAATACTTTCCTTCAGTATTCACCAGTGAGAGGGACCTTGACGTTTGTGAGGACAGCATGAAACAGGCAGATATGTTCGAACAGGTTGATGTTAGGAAGGAGGATGTGCTAGAAATTTTGAAAAACATGAGGATAGATAAATCCCCTGGGCCTGATGGAATATAACAAGGTTGCTACGGGAAGCGAGGGAAGAGATTGCTGCCCCTTTGGCAACGATCTTTGCATCCTCACTGTCTACTGGAGTAGTATCAGATGATTTGTGGGTGGCAAATGTCATTCCCTTGTTCAAGAAAACGAATAGGGATAATCCTGGAATTACAGACCAGTGAGTCTTACTTCTGTGGTGGGCAAGTTATTGGAGAGGATTCTGAGAGATAGTATTTATGATTATTTGGAAAAGCATAGTTTGATTAGAAATAGTTAGCATGGCTTTGTGAGGGCAGGTCATGCCTCACATGCCTTATTGAATTCTTTGAGGATGTGACAAAACACATTGATGAAGGTAGAGCAGTGGATGTGGTGCATATGGATTTTAGCAAGGCATTCAGAAAGTGAGGAGGCATGGGATTCAGGGAAATTTGGCTGTCTGGATACAAAACGGGCTGTCCAATAGAAGACAGAGGATGGTTGTAGATGTAAAGTATTCAGCCTGGAGCTCGGTGACCAGTGGTGTTCCACAGGGATCTGTTCTGGGACCTCTGCTCTTTGTGATCTTAAAATAACAATTTCGATGAGGAAGTGGAAGGGTGGGTTAGTAAGTTTGTCGATGACACGAAGGTTGGTGGAGTTGTGGACAGCATAGACGATGGTTGTAGGTTGCATCGGGACATTGACAGGATGCAGAGCTGGGCAAAGAAGTGGCAGATGGAATTCAGTCCAGAAAAGTGTGAAGTGATTCATTTTGGAAGGTCGAATTTGAATGCAGAATACAGGGTTAATGACAGGATTCTTGGCAGTGTGGAGGAACTGAGGGATCTTGGGGTCCACGACCATATATCCCTCAAAGTTGCTACCCAAGTTGATAGGGTTGTAAAGAAGGCGTATGGTGTGTTGGCTTTCATTGGCAGGAGAATTGAGTTTAAGAGCCATGAGGTTATGCTGCAGCTCTATAAAACTCTGGTTAGACCACACTTGGGATACTGTGTTCAGTTCTGGTCACCTCATTATAGGAAAGATGTGGAAGCTTTAGAGAGGGTGCAGAGGAGATTTACCAGGATGCTGCCTGAACTGGAGGGGAGGTCTTATGAGGAAAGGTTGGGGGAGCTAGGGCTTTTTTCATTGGAGTGAAGGAGGAGGAGAGGTGACTTGATAGAGGGGTACAAGATGATGAGAGGCATAGACAGAGTGGATAGTCAGAGACTTTTTCCTCGGGCGGAAATGACTATTACGAGGGGACATAATTTTAAGGTGATTGGAGGAAGGTGTAGGGGAGATGTCAGAGGTAGGTTTTTTGCACAGAGAGTGGTGAGTGTGTGGAATGCGCTGCCGGAAGTGGTAGTGGAGTCAGATACTTTGGAGACTTTTAAGCGACTCTCAGATAGGCACATGTAAGATAGTAAAATGTAGGGTGTGCAGGGTAGTTTGATCTTAGTAGGATAATAGGTCGGCACAACATCGTGGGCCAAAGCGCCTGTACTGTGCTGTACTGTCCTATGTTCTATATTTTATCTGTCCAGTTCGCTTTTGTTAACTGTATCCACATTTCATTGTTTTTCCCTTTATTTAAGTTAAACACAGCTGTCTCTGACCCAAGTTTCTATTTCTTGCAGTGAATATTAAATTCAATTGTGTTATGATTGCTACTTCCTCGGTGATCTTTCACACTGAGGTCACTTATTAAACTTGCTTCATTACCAATTGCCAGATCCAAGATAGCCTGCTCCCTGGAGGGCTTCATGACATATTGCTCTGGGAAACTATGCTGAATACATGCTATGAATTTGTTGTTGTAGCTACCCTTTCCAATTTGATTAATTCAATCAACATGAAGCCACGAGCAGGTGTTAAAATTTCATCATTAGCAAAGTTTGGGATTGACTATTCAAAAAAAGTCTGGTTAGGGACCATTGTAGTCAATTTTGAGGATCTTTGAAGGTTTTAATTTTACTGTGTTGTGAATTCAGAGTTAGGCTGATTTGGTTCAGATATCTGTATCTGTGTCATAACAATAGGTTACTATGGAACAAGTGGTGTCTATAACACTGCTGACAACCTTTTCCATTACTTTTATAATGATTTAAATAGACAGATGGAGGAGGCAAATGGCCACATTAGAATTTTTCTGTTTTGTGGACAGGATGTCCTTGGGCAAATTTCCACATTGCTTGGTTGATACTAATATTGTAGCAATGTTGATACTAATATTGTAACGAGAACAGATGATTGAAAATGCTTGAGCTTTGCTTTGGTTGTGATGGGCTTTTGTAGTATTGAGGATATTGATGGAGCCACCTCCTCTAGTGAGTTGTTAAATTGTCCACCACCATTCGTGACTGCATGTGACAGGACTGCAGAGCTTAGATCTGATATTTTTGCTTAGCTCCGTCCTCCACTTTCTGCAAGTAGCCTTGTACAGTAGCTTCATGAGCATCATGAGACTCTTGCTGTCTCCATATATTACACAGACATTCAATTGAGAATTTGTAGCAAATTTAACTCTCTATCTTTAATTCTTTCACAGTATCTGGAAAAAACACTTTCCCCATTGTGGTCTGAGATGTTGCTGTTTGATCAAATCCTGATAGAAGGGAGTAAGGATGAACTGAAAAAGGATCCGCCCATTATCATCATCAATATCTTTGACTATGACAGCTTGGTGAGTTTTAGCCTAGTGCAGTTTCAGAAATGAATTATAGCAGAAATGTCACTAGGATAAAAGAGTAATACCACTATGTGACAATAAAATTATCAACCAGAACTGCAAATACCAACCTGCTGCATGAGAATAGACATCATACTGCTGTACAAGTATTGACATTGGAGAGCGCGCTACAAATTGTAAAGCAATAATAGTGGGGACAGGTGTGTCCATGTACAACTGGGTACAGTACCGGTGGGGATAGGTCTGTCACTGTATAATACTGGGGTACAGCTGTGGTGGGAACTGGTCTGTCATCCCTCCCATCGACCAACCAGGTCATACCTATTACCAGTGTCCACCTATCATCACCACTCAGCTACCCCACCCCCCCACCACCCCACTGCCTTTATCTGCAGCTCCCTCTAGCCTCACATCCAGTCCTGAAGAAGGGTAATACCTGAAACGTTGACTTCTCGTTTCCTCCAGATGCTGCCTGGCTTGCTGTGTTCTTCCAGTCCCCCGTTTGTCTACCTTGGATTCCAGCATCTGCAGTTTTTTTGTCACTGTATAATACTGGGGTACAGTTCTGGTGGAAACTGGTCTGTCACTGTGTACCACTGGGGTACAACACTGATGGGAATTGAAACAAAATTGCTGGAGAGGCTCAGCAGGTCTGGCAGCATCTGTGAAAGAAAAACCAGAGTTAACGTTTTGGGTGTGGTTCTGAGGAAGGGTCACCGGGCCCGAAATGTTAACTCTGTTTTTTCCTTCACAGATGCTGCCAGACCTGCTGAGCTTTTCCAGCAATTTTGTTTTTGTTCCTGATTTACAGCATCTGCAGTTCTTTCGATTTTTATTTACTGATGGGAATTGGTCTGTTTGTGTAAAACATTGGGGTACAGCACTGGTGGGTAGAATTCTGTGAATGCTAGTCAATGTAATTTTAGTTAAGGGGTTGCAGTTAACTCCCTCTCTGAGTTTCATCTGATTTTTGCAGACAGTAAAGTGACTAGTACTGGAATGTGAACTGAACAGGTGGAAGTCTACCTATTGTGTAATGTTGCATTTTAAATGTGCAGCAATGCACTGTGCCACAAGGTATTTAAATGATAGCATTTGGAATGAATCAATGTGTAATACTGTCTTTTTTCATAAACATAGGGAAGCCCAGAGTTTCTAGGACAAGCTTTCGCAGCTCCCAGCATTAAGCTGCAGGGTGAAAGTTATGTGAAACCTTCATTAAAGTTTCATGACGTTTACAGACGCCAGACAATGGGTGGTGAACTGCTAGCAGCTTTTGAACTGATAGAATTGGATTACAGTGGCTTTGGAGAGGTAAGAATCACACACATTGTCTAATTGTTTCACAGTGAATGAATTGTAGATACTGTTCAGCCTGTAGCTGCTGTTTATCAATTGGGAACATACACCAAAGCAGGGCCAACCCATACCTCAGACAGGCTTTCTGCTGAAACATTACAGAGCACCTTTGATCCTGTTCCCATCACAGACTGTTTGACTATGACAATGCTGTCATTTACCTAAGAACATGAGGAGTAAGAGCAAGAGTAGGCCACACAGTCCTTTGAGCCACATTGCTACTGTCTCTTTTATTCCATGAGTAATAACTTTTCTCACAAGTCTGGTCATAGAATCAGGCAGCACCTTTGGCCTGTTGAGTCTGTACTGCCACAAACATCCTACTATCTACACTAGTCCCATTCTACTATGAACATACTCAAACACTAACCATCATAGCCCTCTGTGATTGACTATTCCTAATGTTCACAATCCCCTAGAGTTGTTCAGCATGGAAACAGACCCTTCAGTCCAACTCATCCATGTCAACCAAGTTTTCTGAACTAAACTAGCCCCTTTTGCCTGTTTGGCCCATATGCCGCTACATCTTTCCTACTCATGTATCTGTCCAAATGTCTTTTGAATGTTGTAACTATACCTGCGTTTACCACTTCCTCTGGAAGTTCATTCCACATATGCACCATCCTCTGTGTGAAAATGTTGCCCCCCGGTCTCTTTTAAATCTTTCGCCTCTCACCTTAAAAATATATCCTCTACTTTTTGAACTCCCCTACGCTAGGGAAAAAATCTTTGCTAGACACCTTATCTATGCCCATCATGATTTTATAAACTTCTATAAGGTCACCACTCAACCTCCTACAATTGGTTGAAGAAAGTCCCAGCCTATCAAATCTATCCCTATAACTCAAACCCATCAGTCTCAGTAACATCCTGTCAATTTTCTCTACAACCTCTCCAATTTAATAATATCCTTCCGATAGCAGAACAACCAGAACTGTACACAATACTCCAAAAGTGGCCTCACCAATGTCCTGTACAATCACAATATGATATCCGAACTCCTATCCTCAGTTGCCTGAGCAATGAAGCCGAGTGTGCCAAATTCCTTCTTTACCTCCCTGTCCACTTGTGTTGCAACTTTCAAAGAACTACGTACCTGAACTCTAAGTCTCTCTGTTCGATAACACTACCCAGAGCCCTACAGTGAACTGTATAAGTCCTGCTTTAGTTCATCTTATCAAAATGCAACATCTCGCATTTATCCGTATTAAACTTCATATGCCACTCCTCGGCCATTGACCCAACTCATCAAGATCCCTTTGTAATCTTAGATAACCGTCCTCACTGTCCACAATACCACCAATTTTGGTGTCATCCGCAAACCCATGCTTCCTAAATTCTCATCCAGATCATTTATACAAATGACAAACAACAGTGGATCCATCACCAATCCTTGCAGAACACTGCTGGTCACAGGCTCCAGTCTAAAAACCATCCCTTCACCATCACATACTGTCAAGTCAATTTTGTATCCAATTGGTAAGCTCTCCCTGAATGCCATGTGATGTAACTTTTCTAACTACTCTACCGTGCAGAACCTTGTCAAAGGCTTCACTAAAGCCCGTGAAGACAATTCAGCCCTCATCTATCTTCTGAGAATAGGTGTGGTGAACCTTTACTGCACTCCTTCTGTGGCAGTAATATCTTTCCTGTCCCAAATTTTTAATTCCTCTCTGGCCACAGGGGAGGTGCCAGAGGACTGGAGGACAGCTAGTGGTTCCACTTTTCAAGAAGGCTGGTAGAGATAGACCAAGGAACTCTAGACCAATGAGTGTCACATCTGTCGTAGGGAAACTATTAGAGATAATTCTGAAGGAGAGAAATAATCTCCATTTAGAGAAGCAAGGTTCGATCAGGGCTAGTCAGCACGGCTTTGTCAGAGGAAGGTCATGCCTAACAAATGTAATTGAATTTTTCGAGGAGTGACCAGGTGTGCAGATGAGGCTAGTACAGTTGATGTCATTTAATGGATTTCAACAAAGCCTTTGACAAGTTCCCACTTGGGAGACTGATAAAGAAGGTAAAATCTCACGGGATCAGGGTAACTTGGTAAGTTGGATCCAGAATTGACTTAATGACAAGAGACAGAGGGTGGTGGTAGAAGGCTATATGTGTGACTGGAGGCCGGTGAGCAACAGCGTACTGCAGGGATCAGTGCTGGGTCCCTTATTGTTTGTAATATATGTAAAAAATGTAGAACAAAATGTGGAGGAATGATAAATTTACAGATGAGATTTAGAGGGGATTTGAGGAAAATCTTTTTCATCCAGAGGGTGGTGCGAATCTGGAATGCACCATCTCAGATGGTAGTTGACATGGCAAACCTTGCAACCTTTAAAAAGTGCTTGGATGAGCACTTGAAATATCAGAACATTAAAGGCTGTGGGCCAGTGTGGGAAAGTGAGAGTAGTATAGGTAGTAATGTAGTTTTGGTGGGATAGGCTTGATGGACCAAAGGGTCTTAACTGTACTGTATGACTCTATGAGTTTGTGAAATACACTGTACATCAGTTTCTCCTACCAAAGTGGATAACATCATATTTTTCCATCTGAAAATGTTCTTGTTCATTCAATAAGCCTGTGCAAAATTTCCTGAAACCACTTTGCATCTCCCTTACAAGACACATACCCACTTAGCTTTGTATCATCTGCAAATTTGGAAATGTTAAGTTTGGTCCCCACATCCAAAACATTGAGGTATATTGTGAACAGCTGGGATCCAAGTACTGATCCTTGTGGGGCCCACTAGTCACTGTCTGCCAACATGAGAATGACCTTTCCTTTTTTGCTGTCTGTTTTCTGTTGTTACCCAATTATTAATCCAAGCCAGTGTATTAACTCCTATCCTATATATTTTTAATCTTCCTACCAGCCTCCTGTTGGGGACTTTATCAAAAGCCTTTTGACATATTACACATGTTTTTGAAGCCTATATACACCACATCAACAACACTATCCTCATCAACTCTTTCTGCTATCTCTTTAAGAACTACAGTCAGTTAAACATGATTTTCCCTTAAGAAATCCATGCTGGCTTTCCCTAAATTATCCATATTTGTCAATATGACTATTCATTCTATCCTGAATTATCATTTCTAAATGTTTCTGCACAACTAAAGTTAAACTGATGGATCTATAGTGAGTGGTCTGTATTCTTATTCTTGGCTTTATTCTTGCAATCTTTCTTGACCAAAGCCATAATGTGTGCAATTCTCCAGTCCTCTGGCTCCACCCCTGAGACTAGAGAAGTCCCTGCAAAATTTTAAGTTTCAAATGATCACCTTTCATTTTGCTAAATTCCAATGAATGTAGGCCCAAACTCCTCAATCTTGCATCATAGCATAACCCTCTCCAACGCAAAAATCATACAAATGAACCTTCTCTGAACTGCTTTTGATGCAGCTGTACCTCTGCCCTATAAATGAGGAAACTAAGTTGTTTACAATTCCTATCTTTGATAGCTTGGGCTTATTGTTGATATCATGGTATCAGCTGATGGACCTGGAGTTCATCAGGAATCTGGCTGGGTCTGTGGTGATGAACTTGAACCTGATGATGTGGTGGCAGGATCATGAATATGAGTGACACAGACTTGCAGCTCGATCATGTGACAGAGTAGTCTTGACATTGGGATGCTCGTATCAGCTGATGGCTGGGGCCAGCCCTGGGTTAGAGTTGGAAATTCTCCTTTAGACATTTCAGAAATTCTGCATTTAAATCTGCAGCATCTGAATTTCTGTTGCTTCAGCACAAAAAGACATTCCAATGATCAGGGATAATCTCACAGGATCGTTTGGGTTTGTACAAATGGGTTGAGCTGAGCCCTGTGATGACTCTGTCTAACCAGAGCTGCTGATCTAAAGCTAAAGGATGAAGAAGGGCAGGGTGGATGGATCCCATGTTGCTACTACATTCCAATGAGAAAAAAAATTCCAAAGGGAAGACTAAATTCCATAGTTAACTAAAATTGTTAAAGGTAGTATCAAACTTAGAACAAAGCATATAATCACCCAAAGCAGGTCAAAAGATTGCTTAGAACATTGAAGTACAGCAAAGGATGACTAAAAGATTAATAAGGAGGGAAAAATTAGAATAAGAATGAAAACTAGCTAGAAATATAAACAGGTAGTAAGAGTTTCTATAGATGTTTATAAATAAATCAACAAAGTCAGTGTGAATACTATAGAATATGAGTGCGGGATATTGATAATGGGAACTAAATTGATGGCTGATGCATTGGACAGGTATTTGCATTTTTCTTCTCTATGGGTGATACAAGTAACATTGCAGAAATAGCTGTAAATCAGAAAATGCAAGAGAAAGGAGAAAATAAAGAAACTTACAATAACCAAGGAAGTGGTACTGAGTAAATTGTTGGCACTGTGGGCTGACAATTCTGTTGGTCTTGATGGATTTCATTGCAGGATCTTAAAAGAAATGACCAGTAAATTAGTTGGTGTGTTGGTTTTAATTTCCCTATAACGCAATTTTCTATGGCACAAGGCGACACAACAATGCCACTATTGTGTTATAGAAGAACTACCTGTAAATTAACAATGCCATTAGGGAGGGAATTCCAGGATTTGACCCAACCACACTGAAGGAATGGTGATATATTTCCAAGTTTGGATGGTCAGTGGCTTGGAGGGGATCTTGCAGGGGGTGATGTTCCCATGTATCTGCTGCCTTTGTCCTTCTAGATGGATGTGCTCATGGTTTTGGAGGGTGCTGCCTCAGGATCTTTGGTGAATTTCTGCAGTGCATTTTGTAAATAGTACATACTGCTGCTACTGAGCATTAGTGGTGAAGAGGGTGGATGTTTGTGGATGTGGTGCCAATTAAGTGGGCTGTTTTGTCCTAGACAGTGTCATGTTTCTTGAGATCCAGGCAAATGGAGAGTATTCTATCACAGTTTTGACAAGTGGAACATAGGAACAGGAATAGCCCATTCAGCCCATTGAGCCTGTTATAGAGTCATGGAGTTATACAGCATAGAAACAGACCCTTCGGTCCCACTCGTCCATGCTGACCACACATCCCAATCTGACCTGGTCCCATTATCCAGCATTTGGCCCATATCCCTCTAAACCCTTACCCATCCAGATGCCTTTTAAACGTTGTAGCTGTATCCGCCTTCACCACTTCCTCTGGCAGCTCCTTACATACACTATCCACTGTGTTAAAAAGTTACCCCTCAGGTCCTTTTTAAATCTTTCCCCTCTCACCTTAAACATATTCCCTCTAGTTTTGTACTCCCTAGCACTAGGCAAAAGTCCTTGCCTATTCACCCTATCCATGACCCTCATGATTTTCTCAACCTCTATAAGGTCACCCCTCAGCCTCCGACGCTCTGGGAAAACGAGATCATGGCTGATCTGTGGCCTAACTGTATATACCTACTTTTGTCTCATATTCTTTATTAGCTTTGCTTAACAAAACATTATCTATCACACATTCAAAATAACAATTGATTTATCACCCACTGCCCTTTGTGGAAGCGCTGTCAATCAAACTGTGAATGTGGGAGCTCTGCTGTGATAATTATAGGTAATGGAAAACAGTCAGGCATTAATTGTGCCTTGCAGATCAGATCAGTCATGAGCTTGTTGAATGGCAGAGTTGGCTTGAGGGGTCGAATAGCCTGCTCATTGCAATTTGTATGTTTTTATGTTCACTAACTCTCGTAATCATTGTAGGCAGCCTCCTCTTCTTTTGCACTCAAAAGTTCTTGCCAAAGGATCACTGATCACCAGTTCAGTTGTGCACTGTCCCCTTTAAATTTCAGATCTAGCTCTTCTGCTTCAGAATTTCCTGCTAGATGCCCTGCCCCTCAGAATGCTAGCTCCACAAGTTTTGATGTTTACTCAGAGAGTAGTAAGGGCGTGGAATGCCTTGCCTGCAAAAATAGTTGACTTGCCAACTTTAAGGGCATTTAAATGGTCATTGGATAAACATATGGATGATAATGGAATAGTGTAGGTTAGATGGGCTTCAGATTGGTTTCACAGGTCGGCGCAACATCGAGGGCCGAAGGGCCTGTACTGCGCTGTAATGTTCTATGTTCTATGGTGTGGAGACAACATCTCTACGATCAATACAGAGCCTGTGATTCAATTGTCTGATGGTCCGAAGGATGGGCAGGTCAAGACAGCCACAGTTTTCGTTGGGATGTGGTTGCTGAATATATGAAAGATGCTTGTGAATTGAGGTTGTTGAGGTTGGTTGGCTCGCCAAGCTGGTTTGTTGTTTCGCAGATGTTTCGTTACCATCCTGGGTAACATCCTCAGTGCAGTCTCCGATGAAGTGCTGGTATGTTTTCCCGCCTGGTTTTTAAACTCTGGGGTCCGTTGAGATGGATTGCCTCACTTCCGGAAGGAGGAGGCTGCACTGAGGATGTTACCCAGCATGGTAACGAAACATCTGCGAAACAGGAAACCTGCTCAGCGAGCCAACCAACCTCAACAACCTCAACACCCACAACCCGAGCTACAAATCTACTCCAAAACCTTAGACGCTTGTGAATGTCAATAAATTGAAGAGGCAGGAATGAACTGAATCAAATTGCATTAGGTAATATGCAAATGAAAAATTAAGCAAATCAATAAGCTTCCTTCCAACTAGCAGGTGAGGTTCCTGCCACTGACTTTATTGCTTCCAGTTTTCCTGCTACCAGGAATGTTGACATGCAGCCTTCTGCCCAATTCTACCTGCATGCCCACTCTCGTGTCACCTCCAGCAAGCTGCACAAATCCTGCTTTTGGTGTGGGCTCGCTAATGCTCTGTGCAGTTGTATGGACTCACTGTCTGAAATCTGGTGGCTACTCGTGGCTTCTTTTGACATGATTGTTTTAAATATATTGCTTTGCACAATGTAGCAAATCACCACCTGTATTAAGGCTTGTATTGCATCAGCAATGTGATGCAGTATTCCCCACTTGCCTGGATGGGTGCAGCTCCAAGAACACTCAAGAAAATTGACATCATTCAGGACAAAGCAGCCTGTTTTATTAGCATCAATTCCTGCATCACCTACAAGTGCAATAATTAACCAAGGCTCCTTAGGCAGCACCTTCCAAACCTATGACCACTACCATCTAGGGCAAGGGCAGCAGATACATGGGAACACACCTCCTGCAAGTTCCCTTCCAAGCCACTCACCATCCTGACTTGGAAATATATCGCCATTCCTTCAGTGTTGCTGGAATTCTGCACTTCCCAACCAGCATTGTGAACTACAACGGTGTAAGAAGGCATCTTACCACCACCTTAAACAGGGCAATTAGGGATGGACACCAAATACTGGTCCAGCTAGTGAAGGTCATACCCCAACAACAAATAAAGAATTGTACATGGAAATTGGTTGCAACATTTTCTACATTGCTACAGTGACTACATCTTGAAAATACTTCATTGACTGTAAAATGTTTTGGGATGTTGTGTGGTAGAGAAAGGTGCTATATAAATGTAAGACTTTTTATTTTCCACAATGTTCCAGTGGAGGAAGATAAAATTGTAAAAGTGAGAGCCAGAGGACTTAAAAAAAGGTAAAGTGAAGGTGAGGTAATGGTAGAATGGAGCACTGATCTTAAAGACACAACTCTCTTTTCAGCCATCTCTCCCAGACGATGTGGAATCTAAGGATCTGGAATACCTTGATGAACAGAGGAAATATTTCATTATTCCCACAGGAATTCGACCAAAGCTCAAGACGTTCAGAATTGAGGTAGATTTCCACCTGAATATTAATTCTTCTATGAATTACATAATATCACATTGAATTAATTGATATTTTAATACAAGGTTATTCTCCAATTGGATGAAATGTTGGTTGAAGAAGCAGAAACCACTGATTTCTGGGAAATGGTTGTTTTTTTTGGACTGGAGAATACTGACAGTGGTGCTCCTCAATGGTCAGTGCAGTGATAATTATAAAGACTGGGCCAATGGAATACAAAGTCAAATTACAGTATTTGATGAACAAATAAAAATAAAGAACTGCAGATGCTGGAAATCAGAAACACAAGCGGAAATTGCTGGAAAAACTCAGCAGGTCGGGCGGCGTCTGTGGAGAGAAAATGACTTAAGTCCAGTTCTGAAGAATGGTCACTGAACTGAAATGTTAACTCTGTATTCTCTTCACAGATGCTATCAGCCCTTTTTGAGTTTTTCCAGCAATTTTTGTTTGTGTTACAGTATTTGCTGAAACTTGAAGAAGTGACAAACAGAGAGGATAATAGAAACTGACTGCAACAGAATGAACGTAGGCTATCAGAGTGGGCTGACCAATAGCAGATGAAATTTAGTAGAGAAATGTGAAGTGATCTACTTTTGAAGAAGGAAAAGGAAGAAGCAATATAGATAGAATGACACAGTTTTGTGTACTGGGACTCAGGGTCCAGGAATTCTTGTGCAGAGATCTTCAATGATAGAATGATATACGGAAGTAGTTAGCAAAGAATATGGTTACTGGGCTTTGTAAATAGAGATGATGAGTACAAAAGCTGGAAAGGCATGCTGAAACTTTATAAAGTTTGTTTATTTTCAAGCAGGTGTTAGATACAGTTCTCAGGGCTAAAGGGATCAAAGAGAGGAAGTTGGAACAGGATACTGAGTTAGACGAAGGGCCGAAGGGCCTACTTCTGCTCCTATATTCTATGTTTCTAAAGCTCTGATTAGGTCACAAAAAGAGAATTAAATCCAATCCTGGTCACCACACATAGAAAAGGTATGAAGGTCCCTTAGAGAGTGCAGAGAATATTAACCTGATGTTGTGTGACTTCTGACCTTGTCCACCCCAGTCCAACACTGGCACCTCCACATCAAGGATATTTACCAGAATGATTCCAGAGTTGAGGGAATTTCATGACCAGGTTTATTGAAGGTTAAGGTGCGAGTGAGAAATTGGGGATGTGAGGAAGAATTTTCTCACCACAAGTGAAAGAGATAGATTTCAAAAGGATGAGGGCTTGAAATAAATGTGTGTAAAGTGAGGGAATTGAACTGATTGGATTGTTCTACTGTCTGTATGGACTGAATTTGCCGTATGATCTCCTACTGCATTGTAACGACTCTGTGACTCTGGTAAACAGGTAGGTTAATATCTAGGCTCTGTAACGACTTTATAACTTTGTTTTATAGGTGGATTAATACCTAGGATCTGCTCATGTTTGTTAGGAAGTTTGGCAAAAGTGTCAGGCTAGTTTTGCTTCCCCAGTGCTTATAGGTTGTCTCAGTCAAGAGAGAAAGTGTAAAAAGCATCCGACCAGAACTTTCGTTGCAAACTGCTGTTGCATGACAGCGATCCAGCGCTGTCAAATTGTTGTTTGAACCTGGCGTAAAACAATCTATTTTTCACTGACCATGGACTGACAAAAACACCAGAGCAATCCTGACCTGAATGTGTTCCGGCAGCTATTTCTCACAGCTCTGCTACAGACTCGATATCCAACAGCACACTTTGAACCTCCTCATGTACATGGCCACTAAAAAATATTTTATTTTTCTAGGTTCTGTTCTGGGGCCTGAGGGAACTGAAACGTATAAATCTTTTTGAAGTGGAGCAACCGCAGGTGACAATAGAATGTGCAGGTCAGAAAGTCGAGTCTGAAATCATTACAAATTACAAGGAAAATCCCAACTTTGATGAACTTGTGAAGTATTTTGAAGTGGTATGTATTGAACTATTATGGAACAATTTTCAATTGAAGCTGTCTTGAAATAAGTATTTGAATTGTTATTAGCATTGGTTTGTCTGTGTGGAGAAGAAACATACTGTGGATATTGGAAATCTAAGAACAAAAAATTGTGAAAACTTCAGCTAGTTTGGCAGATTTGGTCATTATTGGTACCCACATGAGTCCCAGCATTCATCCCAGCAATGGTCCTAGTTATTGGTCCTAGCTAAGTCAGCATTTGTGAGGGACATATAGAATATTCCTCATTTCAGTTCTACTCAAGTCTCCTCCAACACCTCCTCCTCTGGTATATGATAACTATATCGATGCTTTTCTCTGCTCTTGCCTTGAACTTGAAAATTGCTTCCAATTGAAGAAGAAATTGTTTACCTTTGCATGGTTCATTTCTGACTCTTCATTTCCTTGTCTTGATTTCACTGTGTCTATTTCTGGTAATGGCCTATCAATAAATATTCACTACATGTCCTCTGACCCCACAGCTACTGTGACTACACTCCTTTACACACGGCATCCTGTACAGACTCTGTTCAATTCTCCCAGTTTCTTGGTTTCATTTGTGGGTGTTGTCAGATGGCAAATTCCATACGAATGCTTCTGGAATATCTTTTAACTCGACCAAAGTTTCTTCCCCACCACGATCACATGTATTTTCCATTTCATGTGCTTCTGCGTGCATCCTTGCCCCCCGATCCATGATATGTGCCCTTTGTGGTCACCTTCCACCTCATCAGCCTCCGTATCTTGAGGAAGAATGAGGGATTGGGGGAGAGGGCAGCGGAAGGGATAGTATGTAAATTGCTCCTTAGGAGAACCAGCACGGACATGATGGGTCAAATGGGCTTCTCTTGCATTGTACTGATTCTGTGATTTTAAGAATTGAAATGTTCTGGAAGTTGGTTTAATTGGAATTGTTGCTTCACAGGATCTCCCAGAGCAGATGTACCTTCACCCACCGCTCAGCATCTTTGTAGTGGAACAGCGTGCATTTGGACACACTATCCTTGTGGGATCCTATACTGTCACAAGCCTGCAACAATTTTCCCTGAAGGAATTGGAGGAGCATCCAGAACCACAGGATGATGATCTCAAAACCAAAAGTAAGATAAATAGATAAACTATGGAAGGAGAATTTGCCTAGTTCTGTGAATGCTATAGGAGAGTTAGTATATATTGGTGTCATTATGCTACGGTAGGAATTGGTTAGCTCATTTGGCTGAATGGTTGGTTTGCAATACAGAGTGATGCCCAGATGCCAACAGTGTATTTCGATTCCTGCACTGGCTGAGGTTACCGTGAAATCCAACTTTCTCAAACTTGCCCCTTGTCTGAGGCATGGTGACCTCTCTAATAAGAGTGTGGTCCTCTGGCACTATGGTGACTTTACCTGTGATGCAGTAACATAGTAATAAGGATCATGAGTATTTGTCAGTGGTGAACTGTAACAGAGTAGCACATAGAACGTGCACAGAAAAATGCCCGCAGTGCACTTGTTTTCTTGAGAAAAACAACAACCTACATTTAAATTATACCTTAATATTGTAAACTATCCAAGAAGTTTTAAAAAAAATCTGACACCAAGCCTCAGCCAAGTGGCTAAAATGCTCATCAGGATCTCGGTTGGCAAGCCATTTGTAGTTGCTGCTGGTTTGTGGACTCAAGACAGAAAAGGAGTCCTACAAGGCCTGATTTCAGTGAGAAGACTTGTTGGCTGGTATCCTGGAAAGTCATCCTACATGTGGGTTGGAACAATTAAATTGCTTAGCAACATCCAAATAGAAATCGATTAAAGTTAATATTTGGTTAAATGGTCACCCAGTTCCCACGGAGGTCAATTCTGGCGCAGCTGTATCTGTGGTTGCAGAATCTTTCTTTAACAAGATTTGCTCGGGATTCCAACCCTTAAATTTGTGCAAAACCTCAGCCAGACTGAGAACATACACTGGTGAACCGTTGCAAATTAAGGGTTCAACTTCAGTTCAGGTCTCCTTTGAGAAGCAGTTGGTGCAGTTAGCACTAATGGTAGTAGAAGGCTCAGGCCCAAAATGGGGAGTACAAAAATGCAGACGTTATGCTTCAGTTATAGAAAACCCTGGTTAGGCCCCACTTTACTGTGAGCAGGTCTGAGCACTACACCTTAGGAAGGATATATTGACCTTGGAGGGAGTGCAATGAAAGTTTCAAAGAATGATACCTGGACTTTAGGGGTTAAATTATGATGAGCAATTACACATATTAGACATGTTTTGGCTAGAATTTTGATCTGATTGAAGTCTTCACTATATTAAGAGGAAAAGAGCTGACTGGTTTTCATGCAAACACTTTGTCTCCCTTGTAGGTGACATCGTCACTGCTGTGTAGCTTCCATTGAAGCACTGTTGTTCTGTCCCGCTGTGAATTTATATGGTCCTGTCTGTCATGGTGGGCAGTGTTGTTTCCGGTTTTGTACCGAAGTGGTATGTAGGTGGGGTCTATTTCAACATGTTTGTTAATTGCATTGAAAACCAGGTCTCCAGGAATTCTCGTGCTTGTCCTTGTTTTGCTTGTCCTAATTCTGTTACTTTGTCTCAGTTAAACTGATGCCCTTCTATGTCGGAATGGATTGAAACATGGGAGAGTTGGTCGTGCTGTTTTGCTGCATGTTGGTGTTCATGTGTCCTGGTGGCGGGTTTCCTGCCCATGTGTCCTATGTAGTGTTTCTCGCAGTTGCTGTATGGTATTTTATATATCACATTGTCCTGCTCATTGTGGGTATGGGGTCTTTTGTCTTTGAGAGTAACTGGCAAAGTGTGGCTGTTGGTTTGCAACGAATGAACAACAGTAAATTCCTTACCACCATATACAGAAAGACTACACTCACAGACCAAATCCTGATTCACAACAGTAACCACCCCAGCATCCACAAACAGAGCTGTTTTGTCAAGACTCTGTTTAAATGAGTGATAGCTCACTCTAACACCCCAGAGCTGTGCAAAAACAAGAGGAACACCTGTACAAAGTCTTTGCAAACAACGGGTATCCTAACAGATTCATCTGTCGATTCCTGGCAAATAAACAACACCAAGAAGACAATGTATGCCCCAACACACTGACCACTCCACCCTATATTAGAAACACGTCGGAACTGATGACAAGACTCCTACGACCTCTTGGAATATTGATAGCACACAAACCAACAGCCACACTTCGCCAGTTACTGTCAAAGACCCCATTCCCACAGTGAGCAGGACAAATGTGATATACTAAATACCACGCAGGAACTGCGAGAAACACTTCACAGGACATATGGGCAGGAATCTAGCCACCAGGACATATGAACACCAACATACAGCAAGAGGGCACGAGCAACTCTCCCTTGTTTCAATACATAGAAGGACATCGTAACAGAACTAGGACAAGCAAAACAAGGACAAGCAGGAGAATTCCTGGAGACCTGGATTTCAACACCGGTGTGATAAACAAACATCTACATACCACTATGGTACAAAACCAGAAACAGGACAGCCTTCCATGACAGACCAGACCATATAAATTCAGAGCGGGACAGAACAAAAGTGCTTCAATGGAGGCTACACAGCACAGATGATGTCACCTAGAAGGGAGATGAAATGTTTGCATAAAAACCAATCAGCTCGGTGAACCAACCAACAACTCCAATCCCAACCTGAGCTACGGATCTTTATTAAAACATTAAAAGGAAAAGACAAAGGTAAACAATTTCTGTTGGTTGATGATTCTAGAACTAGGGCCATAATCTGAGAATTAGGGCCAGACTGCTCAGGAGACATGTTAGTTTCACAGAATCCCTACAGTGTGGAAACAGGCCCTTCAGACCAACAAGTCTACACTGACTCTTGGAACATCCCACCCAGACCCATCCCACTATGACTCACCTAGCCTCCACATCCCTGGACACTATGGGCAATTTAGCATGACCAATCCACCTAACCTGCACATCTTTGGACTGTGGAAGGAAACTGGAGTACCTGGAAGAAACCCATGCAGACACAGGGAGAATGTGCAAACTCCACACAGATAGTTGCCCAAGGGTGGAATTGAACCCAGGTCCCTGGTGCTGTGAGGTAGCAGTGCTAACCGCTGAGCTACCGTGCCATCCCACATACAGCTGCCACATACAAAGGGTTGGTAGATGTTTGGAACTCTCTTCTGCAAATGGCAGTGGATGCTGGATTAGTTGTTAAATTTAAATCTGAGATAGATACATTTTTTAAGCAAAGGTATTAGAGATATGAGCCAAAGGCCGTGACCACATTAAATGGTGGAACAGTTCTGAGAGACTGACTGGTCTCCTCCTGTTCCTATGTTTCTACACTTCTAAACAGTAAGTAGCCTTGGATTTTCAGTTCACTAATCTGGTTTCCGTGAAACCACATCTCAGTAATTGCCAGCAAATCATACCCAATTGTCTTATTTTACATTATTCACTCATTAATTTTATTCCAAATGCTTTATATATTCAGATAAAAAGCCTTTAAGTTTACTCTGTTGTCAAATTTCCCTACTGTTGTATGATTCCTTAGTGAGATATGACATTCACGCATTCTATCCGTTTTATTTTCTGGTAACAATCAGACTCATCATGAAACTGCACTCTCGACTGCATTACCTGTAACACCATGCGCCTTAAACTTATGCAGCAGCCTTTTGTGCGCTACCTTGTTGAATGCCTTGTTAAAATCCAAGTATACCACATCTACCAGATCCCCATTATCCACCGCGCTCATAATGTCTTCAAAGATTTCCAGTAAATTAGGTAAAAATGATCTGCCTTTCAGGAACCTATGCTGCATCTGCCCGATGGGACAATTTCTATCCAGATGTCCCACTCTTTCTTCCTTAAAAATAGATTCAAACATTTTCCCCACTACAGAAGTTAAGCTAATAGGCCTATAGTTACCCACCTTTTGTCCACCTCCTTTTTTTAAACAGTGGCATCACATTTGCTGTTTTCCAATCTGCCGGGACGACCCCAGAGTCCAGCCAATTTTGGTAAATTACTCTGAGCTCATTTGCAATTTTCCCCACCATCTCTTTTAGTATCCTGGGATGCATTCCAGGAGACTTGTCTACCTTTAGCCCCATTAGCTTGCCCAACACAGTCTCTTTAGTGAGAATGATCATTTCAAGGTCCTTATCTGCCATAGCCTCCTTGTCATCAATTACTGGCATGTTATTTGTGTCTTCCACTGTAAAGGCTGATACAAGATACCTGTTCAACCCCTTGGCCATTTCCCATTATTAAATCCCCCTTCTCATCCTTTAAAGGACCAACGTTTACCTTAGCCACTCTTTTTCATTTTATATATTTGTAGAAAATTTTGCTGTCTTTTTTATAGTCTGAGCTAGTATACTCTCATAATCTGTTACTTTTCTTTATAGCTTGTTTCGTGGCTTTCTTTTAAATCTTTAAAAATTTCCCAATCTTCTAGCCTCCCACTAATCTTTACCACTTTGTTTGCATAGCTTTCAATTTGATACCTTCCTCTATTTCCTTAGTTACCCATGGCTGCTTATCCCTTTACCTACAGTCCTTCTTTTTCACTTGTACATACTTTTGCTGAGTATTGTATAAGATCAGGCCTCAATTGTCCCACCATATAGTCTTTGCTCCCGGTCTACTGTAGCCAACTCCTCTCTCATTCCAATGTAGTCTCCTTTGTTTAAGCACAAGACACTGGTATTGGATTTTGCCTTCTCACCCTCCATCTGTATTTTAAATTCAATTAAATTCAACCACACTGTGATCGCTCCTTCTGACAGGATCCCTAACTATGAGAACATTAACAATTCCTGTCTCATGACACAGGATCAGATCTAGGATAGCTTGCTCTCTTGTGGCTTCCATTACATACTGTTTGAGGAGACTATCATGGATACATTCCACAAACTCTTCCTCAAGGCTGCCTTGACTGACTGTGTTTGACCAATCAACGTGTAGATTAACATCTCCCATGATAATTGCCGTACTGTTTTTATATGCATCGCTTATTTCTTTGTATATTGCCAGCCCCACTGTGATGTTATTATTTTGTGGCCTCTAAACTATACCTATCAGTGAATTTTTCACCTTACTGTTTCCAATTTCTAATTAGAAAAGGTTAAGCATTTAACACCAAAGCCGGGTTGTCATACATCTAACATAGAATGAATAGCTAAGTGAAGGCACAGCCTGCAAATACCTATTTCAGTGCTTTGGATATGTGGCAGTGATAGGGTTAGGGTTATCTACATGGTGAAACCCTGCCCCACCTGGCTGCGGATTAGACAGAAGTTGAATATTGCAAGGCTAATACCTGGAATGAGTGGACTGCCTTGTGAGGAAAGGCTAGGGCTGTATCCGCAAATCCAGAAGAATAAGAGGTGACCTAATTGAAACATATAAGATGCTGAGGGGACTTGACTGGGTGCATGTTGAAAGGATGTTTCCTCTTGGGGGGACAATCTAGAAATAGAATTCATAGCTTAAAAGTAAGGAGTCATCCTTTTAAGACAGAGATTAGGGAACATGTTTTTCTCTCAGAGGGTTCAGAGTCTTTGGAATTCCTTCCTCAAAAGACAATAGACGTAGAATCTTTAATATTTGTATGAAAGAGGTAGATAGATTCTTGATGACTAAGAGAATGAAAGAGTATCGGGGATGTGTGGGAAAATAGAGTTGAGATGAAAATCAGATCAGCCACCGAATAGTAGAGCAGGCTGGAAGGGCTGAGTGGCCCACTCTTGATCACATGTATATATGAAGACTGCAGTCAGCTGTTCACTTTTAATACATTGACTGTTCCCTGACTAACCAATGGTCACCCGACTCTCAGACTGAACCTATTGTTTCCCCTCCCTCGCTGCTGCAAATGATTGGAACTAAGGTTGTGTTTGGATATTTAATAAACAAACACCAGAAAATGCAAGACACATCACAGGAATGAGATCAGGCAGGTGTTTGGAATGAACCTCTTCATGAAAACATTTATTTTTAATGGAGGACCGGAATCTTCGAAATAAAACGAATTTCCACAATGTTCTTTTTCTTACATATTTCCATGATTGCCAATTTTTTGGTGAATCTCTCAATGGATGTTTTTATAGTTGAGCATTTTAGACTGGAATGAGGCACTCGGACACCTTTTTCATTTCCTTTGCAGAAAAGGGACGCATACGCCCATTTTCTAATGACAACATGCAGGGTCAAATCACCATCTCTGTTGACCCAGAAGTGGCATTACCTGAGAATAAAAAACGACCTCTTGATGTTCTGAAGGTAATTGGGACCCTCTGTTTTGCACTGGAGTACAGAGACATCTGACACTGTTATACTGCTCACAAAGCCCGGATTGCTGTGGGTGGTGGGCTAGTTCTATCTATGTGAATGTGTGTATGTGAGCATGTGTCGAGTTGTGTGTATGTGAGTGTGTGTCTACGAGCTGTGTGTATGAAAGTGTGCAGGCAAAGGTGTATGTTAGTGAGAACAATGGATGAATGAAGCTCAGTTGAGCAACTTGTCCCCAGATTCCAGCTGATTCAACATATGGGCTTATAAATAAGAACATCAACTGGAGAAGCACAGCAGGTCTGGCAGCATCTGTGGGGAAAGAAGTAAAGTTCATGTTTCAAGTCAAATATATTTTTCTGAAGATATGGCCTTGTACATTCTTGTATCATGCATGAAAGGCAGTAATGTACATGCTCACAGAAATGGTGAAGGCTTGAAACAGGAATCAAACAGGGCCAGAGGGGACAACGTACTGGGGAGAGACTGTAGAAAACTGACAGAACATCTCTCCCTTCCCTACCCGATCTCTCCCATCACCCGGTCTCTTCACCATCCTAACCAATCTCGTCCCTCCCCACCTCCTCACCTGATATCTCTTCGCTGCCACCTGATCTTCACTGCTCCTGCCTGATTTGTTCCCTCCCCAGTCTTTTATCTCTCCACTGCCCACCAATCTCACTCACTGCCTAATCTCTCTATCCATCCAATCACTCCCCTCAACCCAATCTCTTCTTCCTATCCAATCTCATCCCTATTGCCTAATCTCTATCCCACGGCCTGATCTCTCCTCCACCAATGCCCAAACTCTCCCTCCCACTCAATCTCCATCTTGCCAGATTTCTCCATTCCCCCACCCCATCTCTCCCCACTGTCCAAATCTACACCACCACCTGATTTCTCCAACATGCCTAATCTCTCCCCTTTGCCTGATCTCTCCCCCACACTGATCTTGCTCACCCCTCCAATTTGATCTCTTTGCCCCTGCCCACTCTTTAAAAGAAAATAGTTTAAATTATATATTCAAAAATAAACTGAAGAATATAACTGAAATCTGAAAGCGTGTTCAAACCAGAGAGCTGTGAACATGCACACGTGGACACTTCAAACAATCTCAGTCACTAGCGAATGCACAAGCTTCTCCCTAGAGAATACTGCACAGCAAAAGTAGCCTTAAGCATAACTCTGTTCCTCTCCACAGATCTTGCCAGATCTGCTGATTATTTGCAACACCTGCTGTTTTTATTTCAGATTTCTAGCATCCGCATTATTTTGCTTTATTCTTGTTGATGGAATTTGGGCATCGCTGGCTGGGTGAACATTTATTGCCCATTCCACTTGCCCCATGAGAAGGTGGTTGTGATCTGCCTTCTTGAACTGCTGTAGATAGATGCGCAATCCTGATAGGGAGGGAATTTTAGAATTTTGACCCAGTCACACTGAAGGAGCAGCAATTTATTTCCAAGTCAGGATGGTGTGTGGCTTAGCGAGGAACTTGCAGGGAGTGGTGTTCCCATGTATCTGCTGCCCTTGTCCTTCTGATGGTAGTGACAGTGGGTTTGGGACAGCTTTTATTGTTATGGAACTAGACTGAGTTGAGAGGAACGGAAAACCATTTGAGCAGGCCTCCTTTGCTTTTCTGCCAGACACCTATGAAGAAACTGCCACTGAAAACGAAATTACTAAAAGATAAACCCGAAGAATATGAGGAAAAGATTGATCCTGAAGAGCTGGATTGGTGGTCAAAGTATTATGCGACACTGGAGGAGATGAAGGTAAAGTGCTATTGTTAGTTTCCTTACATCGAAAATGATGCTTAAAGGGCATTGGTTTTGAAAACCTTTGTTAAATATTACACTGTGTGTGAAGTCATTGCAACCATTGTACCAGTTATATTGAGAGACTAGGCTGACTAGTCATGTCTGACCTAGATTTGATTTCAGCTCAGGCTAACAGAATGAAAGTTGGCATTCTCTGAAGTCTGCAATTTAATTGTTTAACTTACAGCCCCAGCCAGTATATGGCTATAGACCTTGAGAATGGCCCTTACAATTTGATAACTTCAGCCTGATTTGCTCTTCCATTTCTTTTTGCTCATCTCATTGAACATTATGGCACAGCAGGAGACAATTCCGCTGATTGAGCCCACTCTCGTTTTCTGCAGAAAATTCTAGGTCCATCCATGTCCCCAATCCATGTAGCTCTGCAAATTTATTTCTCACAGGTGCTTTGGCAATTTCCCTTTGAAATTATTGATTGTCTCTGGTTCCACCATCCTATTTGGATGTGAGTTCCAGTCTATTACCATTTATTGAACAAAGGAAGATTTTCCTTACAGCTCCCCTCATGTCTTGCTCAAAGCTTATATCTGCGTTCCCGTAGTCCTTCCACTATTAATTATCGGAGCAGCTTTTCCTTGTCTACCTTAACTAAATTAGTAATAATTTTGTGCACCTCAATCAAATCTTCCCTCAATACCTTCGTTCCAAGGATAACTGCCCAGCTTCTCCAACATAACATTATTGTTAACATTCCTCATCACTGAAACCATTCTGATAAATCTCCTCTGCATCCTCTCAAGTTCTCTCACGTCCTTCCTGAAGGCAGGTCACCAGAATTGGAAACCACTATGTCATATTCCAATATGGTAATTTGTGCCTGTAACAACTAACCTTATTCACCAAACTTTGTGCCTTTTCATGTGCAGAATCTAAATGTGTCTTTGGATTTCTCATAATCCTTCTTGGTCTCCTATCTCATCTTTCTCCAGCACTGCTGATCAACCTCACTCCTTAAAGCACATTATTTCTCTTTTCTTCCTCTATATTTTAGGGCCCATATCCTTCTAATTTAGGTTAAACCTGGTTCACCTCTGACATCAATTCGTTACTTCAATTGGCAGAGTGCTAAATTTAATGGTGCAAGAACTGAGGTGAGAAGGATTAATTGGCGGGAAAAACAGTAACAAAACAATGGGCCACCTTCAAAGAGCAGATGGTTTGGGTACAGTCGAGGTATATTCCCACTATGGAAAAAGTAGGTTAAGCAATCCAGAGTCCCTGAATGACAAAGGAGGTATAAATTAACATTAGAAAGAAAAAGTTTGCTTATGACAGGTGTAAGGCAGAAAATACAATTGAGAAGCAACAGGTATATCAAAGGTTTATGGGGAAATGGAAGAGCAAATAAGAGAAGCAAAGAAGAACTATGAGAATAGATTAGCAGCTAACATAGAAGGAAATTCCAAAGTTTTCTATAGGTATGTAAGAGAGTGGTTAAAGCAGGAGTAGGACCAATCATAGACCAAAAAGGGGATTTACACATGGAGGCAGGGTCATGACTCAGGTGTTAAATAAATATTTAGCATCCGTCTTTACAAAAAAGGAGGATGTTGTCCAGGCTATGTTGACTAAGGAGGAACCTCTCACACTAGAAGGGTTCAGAATGAAGAAGGAAGGACTCTTGGATAGACTTTTGGTACTTAAAATTGACAAGGCACTGGGACCAAATGAGTCGGATTTAAGGATTTTGAAGGAAGTGAGGGTAGAAACCGTGGGGTCACTGACCATGATCTTTCAGTCTTCCCTGGATTTGGGGACATGTCGGAAGACTGGAGAATTGCAAACATTATGGCATTGTTCAAGAAAGATTGTAAGGATAATCCCAGTAATTATGGACTAATTACAATTTAACATTGGTGGTGGGGAAATTTCTAGAAACAATTATTTAGGATAGAATTAGTAATGATATGGGAAAAGGTGGGCTGGTTGGGAAGAGTCAGTGTGGATTTCTAAAGGGCAAACGTGTGTAACTAACTTGCTGGAGTTTTTTGAAGAGGTAACAGAAAGATTCAAGGGTCACGCTGTTGACGTAGTGCACATGTTGCATACTTCCAGAAGGTGTCTGAATCAGTGCCATACAACAGATTGGTGAGGAAAGTTATAGGTTATAGTATAAAAGGGACAGAGGCAACATTGGTATAAAATTAACTCAGTGATAGGAAACAGAGAGTGATCGGCAATATTTTTCAGGCTGGAGGACAGTTTGTAGTGGAGTTCCCAGGGATCAGTAATGGGACCCTTGTTTGGCCTGATATAGATTAATGATCTGAATCTTGGTGTGCAGGGGACAATTTTAAAGTTTACGGATGACACCAAATTTAGAAGAATTGTAAACTGTGAAGAAAACAATGTAGAACACCAAAAGAACATTGACAAGTTGATGGAGTGGGCAGGCAGGTGGCAGATGGGATTCAGAGTAGAGAAGTGTGACGTGATGCATTTGATTGGATTAACACTGAAAAAGTAGATGGTATAATCTGAAAGAGGGTGTGGGAACAGAGGGATCTGTGTGTATATGTGCATAGATCATTGAAAGGGGCAGGATGACAAAGACACCATTTGATAATGCACACTATAGTCCATGTGCTGTAGGTAGATCCACAATGCCCTTTGTGAAACTCTTGAAATCTTCTTTTATATTACTAGCTAGCTTACGCTCATATTTCATCTCACTGCTACCTCCCACCCCATTACTTTTTAGTTGTCATCTGCTGGTTTTTTAAAGTCTTACCAATCATTTGCCTTCCCAATAATCTCCATCACATTGTATGCTTTTTCTTCAGCAATAATGCTGCCCCAGACTCTTCTTCTCAGCCACCCTCCCCTTGACAAATTTCTTATTCCTTGGGATGAATTTTGCTGTGCTCCTGAATAACTCTAGTAACTCCTGCCATTGCTGCTCCATTGTCTTCCCTGCTAGGCTTCCCTTCTAATCAATTCTGACTGGCCCATCCTTCATGTTTTTGTAGTTAACCTTACTCAATTGTAATACTGTTACGGCTGATTCCAGTTTCTCCTTTTCAAGCTGCTGTTGGTAAATTCCCTTGTTAAAAGGAAAAGGGGAAAACCATATTCAGATACAGTGAAAGGACAAATTATCAACCAGGGAATAAAAGATGGAGAATTGTTGTATCTACAAACTTGTGTCACGAGCAAAGAATCATGAATCAGAAGAAAACCGAAAGAAAGCAACTAGTTAATATTTGTGATCCAGTCTAGTGTCAGTCTGTGCTTTTCTGATTTTTTTTTCCTTTCCCCACCTATAATACCAAGTATATAAATGCATGGCTGAGCTGTTGATCATTCTCAGCCTTCTCCAGTGGTCCTCAGCATCACAAACCTTTTTTCTTCTTTATTCATTAATGGCATCAAGGTGTCGCTGGCCAGGCAGCATTTATTGCCCATAGGACGGTTAAGAGTCAACCATATTGCTGTGGGTCTAGAGTCACATGTAGGCCAGACCAGGTAAGGATGGCAGTTTCCTTCCCTAAAGGACATTAGTAAACCAGATGGGTTTTTCTGACAATCGGCAATGGATTCACGGTCATCATTAGACTCTTAATTCCAGATTTTTATTGAAGTCAAATTCCACCATCTGCCATGGCGGAATTCGAACACAGGTCCCCAGAATATTATCTGGGTCTCTGGATTAACAGTCCAGCGATAATACCACTAGGCCATTGCCTCCCCACAAATGCCAATCTTCAGCCAATTCGATTCATCCCACATGATGTCAAGACAAGTCATACTGCAAAGGCCATGGACCTGACAAAATTCCAGCAATATTATTGAAGACTTGCTCTTCAGAACTTCCCACTCCTCTACCCAAGGTGTTCCAGTACAGTTACAACACTGGTATCTACCCCACAATATGGAAAATTGCTTAGGTATGTCCTGTACACAAAAAGCAGGACAAATCCAACCCAGCCCCATTAGTCTCCTCTCGATCATCAGTAAAGTGATGGAAGGTGTCAGTAACAGTGCTATCAAGCAGCACCTGCTCAGCAATAACCTGCTCAGTGACGCCCAGTTTGGGTTCTGCCAGGGCCACTCAGCTCCTGACCTCATTACAGCCTTGGTTCAAACATGGACAAAAGAGTTGAATTCCAGAGGTGAGGTGAGAGTGACAGCCCTTGACGTCAAGGCTGCATCCGACCAAGTGTGGCATCAAGGAGCCCTAGAAAAACTGGAATCAATGGGTATGAGGGGACAAACTTTCTGCTGGTTGGAATTATAGCTGGCACATAGGAAGATGATTCTGGTTGTAGGAGGTCAGTCATCTCAGCTCCAGGACACCTCTCAGGAGTATCTCAGGGTGGTCCTTGGCCCAACCATCTTCAGCTGCTTCACCAATGATCTTCCCTCCATCTTAAGGTCAAAAGTGGGGATGTTCCCTGATGATTACACAATGTTCAGTCAATGTTGAAATGCAACAAGATCTGGACAATATCCAGGGTTGGACTGATAAATAGTAAATAACATTCGCACCGCACAAATGCTAGGCAATGATCATCTTCAGTAAGAGATAGTCTATCCAACATCCCTTGACATTCAATGGTGTTACCATCACAGAATACCCCTCCATCAATATCCTTGAGCTTACCATTGACCAGAACTTCAACTGGACTCATCACATAAACACTGTGGCTACAAGAGCAGATCAGAGGCTAGGAATACTGTGGTGATTAACTCACCTCCTGACTCCCATAAGACCACAAGACCATACAATGTAGGTGCAGAATTAGACTATTCAGTCCATCATGTCTGCTCTGTCATTCAATCATGCCTGATTGTTTCTCAATCCCATCCTCCTGCCTTCTTGCCGTAACCCTTGATCCCCTTACTAATCAAGTAACTATCTATCTCTGTCTTAAATACACTCAATGACTTGGTCTCCACAGCCTTCTGCGGCAATGAGTTCCATAGATTAAAAA